ACCTCCGCTTCCTTCCCCTTCTCGCCGCCCGCCCGGCCCCCGAGGGCACCGCCCGCCCCGCCCCGCCCCGCCCCGCCTTGTCCTGCGGTCCGGCCGTGGGTCTGCGGGGCGGCCTCCACCTTTGCCCGGTGTCCGCCGTCCCCTCCCGGCGGGCCGCGTCCGCCTCCGGCTGGCAGCTCCCCTTTCCGTCCGCCTCTCTGTGTTTCTGTCCGTGTTCCTCCCTCCCTGTCTGTCTGTCTCTGTCTCCTGTTCTCCGTCCCGGTCCCCCGCCCCCGCCCCGTCTCTGTCTCTTTCTCCCTCGGCGCCTCTTTCCCGTCGGGGTCTCTGCAGAGCCATCCGACTCCCTCCCCCACCTGTTGCTTTCCTCTCTATGTCCGTTTGTCCGCGGACCCTTCCCTCCATCGCTTTCTGCGGTCTCTGACTATCTCCTCTCTGATCCCCTGTCCTTCTTTGTCCTTCACTTGCCCCGTCTCTGTCACTCTGTTTCTCGGTCTTTCTCCCTCTATCTCAGAAACTACATATCCATGCCTCTGTCATTGCCCCTCCGTCTCTCCCCTTCCCCAAGTTAGGGCCACAGACTCTCCAAATCCCCTGCCCCAGCCCACTCCCAGATAACAGGTATGGCCATAGGAGAATTCCTTGCCAGTCGCCTGTGATTCTGAGACTTAAATATGCATAAATACACGTGGTCACCTCCATTCCCTCCTGTTCCCCCGACCCTGCTCAGGGAAGACATGGCCTGGGGTGGAGCCTTCTGCAAGACACTTCTGTTTCTTTCAGGGGGCAGCCAGGATTGGCTACTGCTATCAGGTAGCGGGAGGGGCAGAGGGGGGGGAGGGAGTGTAAGGGGGTGTAAGGGGGGAGGGTGGGGCAAAATCCTGGGTCTGAGGGAGGAGGGGGACTAGAGGCCCGGGTCCCAGGGGACAAGGGTGGGCGGTCCCCACGAGATCCATGACTCCTGCCAAGGTCTGCAGTTGGGAAGCATTTATTATAACTAAGTGGCCATGACAGAGCAGGGAGGGGGGAGGTGACACCGAGGCTGCCACAATCAGTCCCCTAGAGGCAGTGATTAAGGGCTCATTACCAGCAGGGTCAGTGAGTGGGTGGGAGCTTGGAAAAGGCAGCAGGGAGAGGAAGGAGGAAGCGCGGACACTCCCAAGGGGGAAGTTGAGGCGGGACCCTCCCGGGAATGATTGTGAAAAGGGCTGGTTCCAGGGAGCAGGGGAGACACTGCAGCTGGGAGCATAGCAGACGGGGGCTGGTCACGGCTTCTCCAGCTGGACGTCTCCGATGTGGAGGCTGCCCACGTCCTGGTAGGTGCCCTGGAGGCCCCGGGAGATGTCCTCGTACATGGAGCAGTCATCAAGGTTCAGGCCCTGGGGTGCACACGTGGTGGTGGGCCTCAGTGTCCTGATGCCTGGGCCCCTACCCCAGAGGCCCCCCAGGAGGCCCCCAACGCACCTGCTCCTAACCTGTCCCCACCCTCTACTCACCTCATAAAGATTTTCATCTTCGTAGTCATCCCGGGGGTCCACCCCGAACTTCATGTTCTGCCATCGTTTCTGTGGGGGGTGGGAGTCTCAGTGGGTAGGGGGTATGTTTTCAGGCCCTTCTAGATGTCAGAAGGGCTTTCCCAGAGCCAGTAAGGGACCTTGCTCAAAGGCACAGACAGTACTGGTAAGTGGCACGGCTCTCTGGGTCCAAGCCAGTGTTCTTTTGGCTGTTTCCACTGCCCAATTGTTCTCCATGAATCACAACATCAGTAGTAAATAGCTATGGTTGCCCTGTGGCCTAAAGAAACTGCAGGTCACAGCCACTGGGAAGATCCCCAGCCCCCATCTTCCCTGGCCTTGGCTACATCTGGAGGGCTACAGCACTCCTGTGTTGGGGAGAATAAAGCACCCTGAGGGGGATTGGGGTGGGGGTAGAGTGAGAACATCCCTAGAGAAGGGCAATGATGACAGCCGTGGGGAGACTCATTGTATTCATTTGTTTACCACCCGTGTGCCCCTGTGTGGGGGGGGGGGCGGGGGGGGAGGCTGTCATTCTCCCAAGTTTTGGGCGGGGACCCTCAGACTCCAAGGGCCTGGTCCCAGGTGGCTCACCCTGAACAGCAGCAGTGTCCCGGGCACCACAGCGCAGAATAGCAGGATGATCCCCTCCGCTGTGATGATGTTGTTCTTGGTGCCCTCCCCCATGTCCAGGAAGGGTCTGGGAGCTGGCTCTGTGAGAAGGGGGTGCTGCTCAGAGCCCTGGCTCCTGGCCCTGTTCCCAGCCCCGCCCCTAGCAAGGCCCCACTGAAGCCCCCACTCTGCAGGTGAGAAATGGGTAAGTATGTGGGAGCCGGGAGCAAGGATGCCCGTGATGCAGGCACTGGCTCCCTCCCCACTTCCCAGACAGGAGGCCTAGAGACCCTGGCACTCACCACGCACACGGAGGTAGGTGCCACAGGAGCGCCATTCCGTCTTGTTTTCCAGAGCATGGCACCTGTATAGGCCTCCGTGGCTCTTGTTCACCGATGAGATGATCAGATCACCATTGCTCTGGCCCCAGTCATGGAACTGAGCGGGCCACGTGAAGTTGCTTTGGAGGATTCGCCACCAGGTGACGTTAGGGCGGCTGCCGTTATGCAGGCACGGGAGGCGGGCCTCCTCCCCCAGGATCACCGTCACCGATGGCGGGCCCCTATCTACCCACAGGGTCTGGCCCCCTGGGCCTGCAAAGAGGCAGGTGGCTCAGGGACTGTGGATGGGATCACAGGCCCCAGCCCAGCCTCTGCAGCCGCAGCACTCCTGGGTGTGTGAGGGGAGTATGAGGACCCTCCTGGGGGAGGTGAGGGAGGTGTGGGGCACAGAGGACACACGGTGTTGGGCAGGGAGTGAAGGGGCACCTAGGGAAGGAGAGAAAGGTACCCCTGAGAAGAGAGAGGACATAGCTTGGGGGGGGGGTGGTTTGAGGACGTCCTGGGGGAGGAGAGTAAGACACCTGGATGGTGACACAGCCCCGGGTGCCCGCTCTCCAGTGCCACCTCTTGCATTTGGATACTTAGTTCCCTGGTAGCAGAGGGCCCCTGCCCAGGCAGTGACTTCCAGAATCAGTTTGGGCATTACCTCCTCCTGAAGGCTTTCCCGGCCCCAGCCCAGCCCCACACTTGACACTATCTTTCATTTTCAAAAAACCCTTAGAAGAAGGTTCTCTCCTTATGCCATTTTTCAGGTGGGACAGCAGAGGCCCAGGGCAGCAGGAGTGGGGAGGAGGGGCGCTAGGGGAGGGCAAACACCAGGCCTCCTGGGCCTCTTCCTGCCGGTGTTGGGTCTGCCTTGTCTGGTGTCTCTGAGCCCGCCCCTTATTCTCTGTAACGTGCACGTGTCAACCTGGGGGTCAGGGGTTTAGTTTAGTCCTTGGGCTGGGGGTTATGGGGGTTAGGGGAGCGTCTCGGCAGTGTGGGTGGTTAGAGGGAGCTGGTGGCCCCAACGCACGTGTCCCCCCCCCCCCACCTCAAGCCCAAGCTATCAGAGCCAGTCCATATGGCTGCTCCCCCTCCTCTGGGGAGGGAAGGAGGGAGTTGAGGAAGAGACAAGAAGGAAGAAGTGGGGCAGAGGCAGCAACCTCAAGGTCAGGGGTTCCATTCCTGGCTCCCAATGTAACCTCGCGTGACCAGCTGCCTTTCTGAGCTCCTGGGTCAAACAGGTGGTCATAGCCCTGACAGCTGGCATCGCTGAGGGAGGATGGTATCATGAGGCACCCCACCTTCAGCACGGAGAAGGGGCTCCCTGTGCAGGGGGTGACTGGGATTCCAGGCAGAGAAAGGGAAAGCTTTTTCTTCACTCTGAAGCTGAGTGCACCCCAAGGTCCCCTCCTGCCCCCAGCTCTGAAGCTCAGTCAAGGGCAACCCTAGTTCCTCATTTTGACCTGAGGGACAGGGTAGGGAAGGCACTCTGGCTCCTGCCTCCCTCCATGAGGCGGCAGATGCCCCTTTAACATCGCTGAGCCCCCTCCAGCCTCCCCGAGGCCTGTTTGGAACAGTCAAGCCCACAGACAGATGCAGTTTCTACAGAGGCCTTTCCCAGCTCCCCTCCTGCTGTCTCCTCTCTGCCTGTGCCCTCTCTCCAGCCTCCCCAGTCCCTCCTCCTCTCCCAAGTACCCGCCTGTTAGCCACATACCCAGGCCAGCAGCAGAGATCAAGAGGAAGAAGATGATGCCAGGCGGCGGGACTTGCAGGACTCCGGAACCCCCAGGCATCTTCTCCCAGTGGGTTGGTTCGTCTGGCTTGCAGCAGTCCTGGGGTACCAGATCCCACCTCCGCAGGCCCCAAACCCCACCCCACTTCCTGCCCAGCCCTCCAGGAGATGGGCTTCACTGGCCCCACTGCTGGGCAGCTCCTGCCAGTGTGCTTCAGATGTGAGCTGAGAGGAACTGCTCCCTGCACCTGTGGTGGCCACAAGTCCCCTGAGGGGAGGTTGCTTGGGTGGGGGAAAGAGGCTAGTTCAAGGTTTGGCTCCTCATTGGGTGCCTGCTGTGTGCAGGCAGTCAAGGCAGTGACTCTGAGCTTTCTTAGTCGTAGTCCCTACTGGCCTTGGGCAAAACCTGTGCCCAGCCTGAAACTCTGTGTGCTCCCTTCGTCGGGTTGGAAATGAGGATTTAAAGGCAAGGCGTTGTGCATGCACAGCACTGAACACAGCACCTGTCACATAGTAGGTGCTCAGTAGTGTTGGTTGTTGTTAATGTTCATGAGGAATAAATGAGGCATGCCAGCGGGCTCTATGAAGGGAAGTGGTGACTTCCCTTTCCAAACCTTTTGTTGTTGTTACTCCTCACCTGAGGGTATTTTTTTCATTGATTTTTAGAGGGTGGAAGAGAGGGAAAGACAGAGAAATATTGATGTGAGAGAAACACACCGATTGGTTGCCTCCTGCACACGCCCAGGGAGGAACCTGCAACCAAGGTACGTGCCCTTGACCAGAATCGAATCCAGTACCCTTTGGTCTGCAGGCCTACACTCTATCCACTTAGCCAACCCAGCTAGGGCTCCATTGATTTCTTTAGAGAGAATGAGAGGGATGGAGAAAAAGAGGCATGTGAGAGACACATTGATTAGTTGCTTCCCAAACTTGCCCTGACTGGGGCAGGGGATCAAACCAACAACCCAGTTACATGACTGGGAATTGAACCTGTGACCCTTTGATGTAAGGGCCGATGCTTTAACCACTGAGCCACACCAGCCAGGGTAAGCCTTGGCATTTTTAATCCAAGAGACTAGGATAACTCTTTGTTGTGACATGAGATGTTCCTGGTACCCAAGGAATTAATAGCAATGCTGGGCTCTTTCTTGGCATTCTTTCACTCAGCCTCCCAAGCATCAAGCCCCTCCTTTTACAGAGGAGGAGACTGAGGCCCGGAGAGGGAATGCTGTCACTGTCACTTGTCTGGTGTTGTACAGTCTGGTGGTGGAGCGGGTTCTTTTAAGCATCATTTTAGGCCAAATGGGAGGAAAATGAGGTCTGAGGGGAGAGGGTGGGGAATGATATGAAATTGTTGAGATGTTTCTGAGCAGTTAGGGGACCATCACACACACACACACACACACACACACGGGGACACATAGGAAAAACTTTTATTGCAGGGAGATTTCTGGTAGCAAAAACTGGGAAACAAACCAAACGATAAGCCCGTGCGTGGAGAATGGATGCATACATTGTGGTGCCGTCAGCCGATAGAGTAGTACACCGCAGGAGAAAGGCAGGCCCTCACGTGTCAACAGGGCTGCATTGGAGAAAAAAACATGAAAATGAGAACACATAGTAGCATGATATGGTTGACTTGTTTTCAAAAGGCAAAACAATGCCGTGTGCTGTTAGGGACATGTGCGTCTGTAGTCAAGGTGCAGACAGACGGGTGCAGGGGAGTGACACCAAGTTCCTGAGAAGGTATCTCTGGCGGAAGCCCGGGGGTCGTGACTGGGAAGGTTACACAGAGGGCTTTGTCTGTCTAGATTTTATGTCTTTGTTTTATTTCTTAAATTAGGTGGCGGGCCTATGAGTCTTTGTTACACTATCATATACACTGTTTTGCTAGCTTGAAGTATTTCATAAATATTTTTAAAAAGCAACTGTTATGCTCACAGAAGAGCATGGCCTTCAGGAGCCACCATTCCTAGGTTTGAATCTCAGCTCTGCTAGCTGGCTGGTTGCCTGAGCCTCAGTTTCTTCAGTAATCTGGGTACAATCCCCCCACCTTGTGAGGCTGTGAGAATATCGGTGTGTTTAGCGCAGTTCCTAGGACAAGTTCCTCTTTTCTGGCCAGGAGGCTCTCTCCCCTTTCCTCCAGCGACCCAGGTGTTCTGTCGGGACACTGGTGTATATAGCAGGTCATTAGCCCCTCTTGCTTTAGTTCCTTCTCATGATCCCCCTCCTAAGGAAGAAGCCTGGAATCAGAGGCTGCAGCCCTAGAAATTCACCTCCTGCCTCATCCATCAGTGGCTGAGCGGTTTCCAGGCCCTCGTCTGTCCCCTAGCGGCGGAGAGGCGCAACTGCGGGATTGCTGGCCCTCTTAGGCCTGTCTGGGCATCTGCACCTTCCATCACCCAGCACCTGTGCATGGGAACCAGATCCTTGGCATTTCGTTCTCATGACAGCTCTGGGAAATGTCTTCAATATCAGTCGACAAAAGACGTCATTGGGGCCAGAATGAGGAGTGACGTTGGGCCTCATTTCCCTCACTTCCGAGGGACAGTGCGCTTAGTAGATAGAGCCTGGGGCTGGAGCAGATACTGGCTTTGCCACTCCCCAACTATGGAATATCAGACAAATCACCCCACCTGTGACTTACTTTCCCCTTCTTCAAACTGCAGGTGCTTTTTGGCATTTACTTCACAGGGTTGCAGCGTTAATGACACATATTTGCAAAGTGCCTTGCATGTGGTAGGCTGTTTATTCAGAAGTTTCCAGCACTGACAACTGAGCTGGGATGACAGTGTAGGATTCTGATTTGGTATTCTTTGAATATCTTGGTCTTAAACAGGATAACACTGGGTTGATTGGCTGCCTGCCAGATGTGCTGCTCTGAGCCACAGCACCATCTACATGTGGTACCTCTGGAATCCCTCAGGAGCAAGCAGTGCTACAGGTGAGGATTGGAAGGTTCAGAGCGGGAGTGTTACTCAAGAGTTGCACAGAATTAGGGGCAGAGTTGCCATCTGATCCCAAGTTGTTTGAAATTCAGGCTTGGCACTGGAAAGAAGTGGGTGTGATCCTAAGTTACTTGGACTGGGGCCTTGTGCAAGCCAGCTCAGCTTTAGTTCTCCCCAACCAGGCAGGGCTGGTCACACGGGGAGGGTAATGGGCCCTTTTCCAGGCTTGCTCATCCCTATGGCTCGATGTGTGCCCACTGGGCACCTTTGATTCTACCACCCACTAGGGGCCCAATCACAGGCAGAGCTCCTTGGCACCAAGAGCCCATCACCATGCAGGACCACTGAAGCTATGCCAGGTGACAGCACTGCCTCTGTGCAGGCACCAGCTGGCCTCAGCATCCATTACAGCTCTAGGGCAGGCACATCTAAGTCCGTTTCAGAGCAGGGCTATAGCCACAATGCAAAAGTGAAGGCTCAGGCAGGACTACCCTGCCCATGCAGGCCAGGAAAGCAAGTGCATACCAGGCACACAGCTCAACCAGAGCTGTAAGAGCCACAGGGCGTCAGGGTTCTGTTCCTGTCCACTTCCTTCCAAGGAAACATCTCAGTACAACCCCCCTGCCCCTCCCGTGTTCCAGCAGGAGAGAGTGCCACTTCAGCAACCCAGACTCCAGCTGGGGCCACTGCTTGAACAGCATCTTTCAGTTTCTCATTTTCTGAGAATTGCAAAGGCAGGATATGAGGGAGGTCCAAGGGTTTCTAGGTCCTGCCCCGCCCAACCCAGGCGTCTTGCCCCTCGGGGGCAGAACTGGGAAGGCTGAGCTTTAGGCTTTGGCAGCCACAGCCACCCAGGGACTCCTGGCTCCTTCTTCCTCATGCCCCCAAATGGAAGAGCAGACAATCAAGAGACCAAGACCAAGACTATAAATGAGGCAATTTATTAACCCAGCACTTGTTCTAATGCTTCTTGTTGGCAGCTGCCACCTGTGGGAAAGATGGAAGAGTAAGTTAAGATCAGTCACGGGGTCCATGTTCTGGCACTTTGTAAGTTACCCACAGCCCAGACACCATGCATCCTGTTTTGTGGTCTCACATGTATTCTTGTCTAATCCTCACAACCCCAGGTACCTCCCCATTTTACAGAAGCGTCAACAGGCACTCAAGAGCGCTGGAGTGGGATTCCAATACTGCAAATGCCATCATACACACTGATGCCTGTGCCAGGCCCTGTGTTCACCTCTCCTCTCAGGCCACCCAACTCTCAGAGGGCAACACCTTCCATTCCTTTCTGACACTTGACGTTAAGTGACTAAACACTCCAAGGCTCCTAGTAGGCCTGAGTCAATGATACAGAAAGAAGGAAACCAATATGGGTTTATGCCAGGCCCTGGGGGGCTCCCACTGCTTGTAGATCACGGAATCCTAACCACCACCCCAAGGTAGGCAGGAGCAGATTGCTCCACAGATAGGGAGACTGGCTGCAGCCGAAGAACTGCAGGGTGTCCAGCCAGCCATCAGGATGGAGACCTGAATTCTGAGCCAGCCCACCTCCCTCTCTCAGCAACCACCCCATCTCATGCCCAGTCAGCATGAAGAGTAAGGAGACGTTGATGCCAGAATCTGTGCAAGGCTGATGCCCTGCAGGAAAAGCAGCCCAACTGCACCACGGGGTTGGGTTCCCTTTACCTCAGCTCCAGCAAGCCGTCATTCAGAAATGCCTTTTTCCTGCCCACCCCCAGAGAAGGCCTCCTCTGAACCCCCACCAGCCTGGACTGTGCCCTTCAGGGAAATTTTGATTTGACAACCCCCAGGCCTGGGGGAACGCCCAGGCAGTGACAGAGGGACCCAACCCTAGCCCTCACCCAGGCCTCACCTGCCCTGCGATCCTGTCCAGATCTCTCTGTCCCTGAGGTGTCAATTTGCGGCCCCTGTGGAGAGAACGGTCATGAATCCCTCCCAGGGTAGTGCAGGCTCTCAACCCCCCTTCCGGATGTGAGTCAGGCTTCCCCAAAAGGCACCTGGCCATACGACCATATGCTGCCAGCCAACTCCCACTGAGGACCCCAGTGGGCTGCATTCTAAAGAGCTTGGGGCAGGAGTGGGAGCCCCCCCGGGGAGCTGACAGGGTGTCGTTTGTGCAAGCATTAGATCAAAAGCCCCGAAAAATCAATTGGGCAAAGTTAACGAGCAGGCTAATGAAAGCGGACAGTCGCTAAATTACCTTCCTGGAGCCCAGGGTAGTCAGTTAGAGAGGTGGGAGTGAGGCCCTTAGCCATTTGTTTTTCTACAGAATCCCCTGCCCACCAGAGGGTCAGGTACAGACAGTGCAGAGACCTAGCTCCTCTCTGCGTGTGGGCAGTGGGGACGGCCCTCGCTAACTTTATTATAGGTGGCTTGACCCCAAGGCTCCTCATCACCCCCCCCCCCTTCCCACCCATCCTGATCCTTTGCTTACCCATCCTGATCCTTTTCCACCATTTTCAGCCCCTCCAGGGCTTGGAGGACTCTGCGGGCCACGCTCTTAGAGCCTCTGCTAAAGTGGCTGGGCATGACACCATTTCTCTGTCGTCCTCCATAGATCTTGGTCATGGAGCCAACCCCAGCGCCTCCCCGAAGGTACAGGTGCCGCGCTGTGGAAGCTGGGTGGAGTGAGAGAGAAACTTAAGGGCCCTTCTCAGGCAGAGAATACTCTTCCCCACAGCCAAGGGAAAGGCCTTGCCACACATAGTCTGTGTGTGGCAGCCAACTCACCATTTTACAGCCAGGGCAACTGTGCACACACTAAAACCCGGTGCCGCCCTCTCCCACCATGGCCAACCCATGCTGCACTCTGGGCCCAGCCTAGGAGACAGGGACAGCCAGGCAGTGGAGGGACTGCCAAAGCCACACTGCTAAGGCTAGACCTGAAGACTGGAGATAGAGCCTTGCAAATGTTTAAGCCACAACTGTCCACCTCCATATGCCTGAGGGGCAGGAGAGTGAAGAAGGGACCTACTGCCACTTGAGTGCAGCTCTCTGAGCCCTCAGCCCGAGAGCTTGGGGTGGGGGGAAGGGGGTCAGGACTGAGATCCATGCAGTGGATGTTCCCAACATGGCATGTCTATCACCCCCTCCGTGGACACGGGGATTACTCTCCCTAGATGGGCTTGGTTAAGTCCCTGGCCAGCCTCCTTGGAAATGCTCACTCCTATTCATGCGGAGCACTCAGTTGTCTGCCAGCCCTGTGCACCTGCTTTCACGTTCTCCTCCCATGAGATACTAAGATGCCTAAGGAGCTGGCCTAATGTTGTGGCCCTAGCAAGTCACCTACCCTCATCCAAAAACCAGGAGTAACTGTCCCTCAGATGAGGGTTATTTCGAGGACTCCATGCAAATGTGTCAAGTGCTGTTGTCCTCTGCAGAAAGGAAACAGGCTCCAAATGGTACTCACTGGCTTCATGCCACAGCTCTGGAGGGACAGCTCCTCCAGGCTGTTTTGGTTTCCTACCTCAGGGGGCCACTGAGGTTTAAAGGCATTGCAGCTGAGGTGCACAACGTGCCCAGACTTCAGTCATCACATGGCCCTACCTGGCTGGGAGCTGAAGGGCAGTGACGCCAGGCCACCCTAGACCCTGGAGACATACTGCTACGAAGCAGGTACCGGGCCATGTCCATGACCCTCCAGTGTTATGAACTAGGGGTGGGTGAGATGGATCTGTGGGGTGAGCTCCGCCTCCCCTCCAGCTGCCGCTCCCAGAACATTCTTCCACGCCACTTGTTCCCAGCCCTCCAATTGCCTCAAACAGCCATGGGCTTCTGGGGGTCAAGAGCACAGCCTCTCTGTGGTCTCACTGTCTCTGGCCTCTGCTCACTTAAAAACCACTCTCTCCTTGGTCCTTTCTATCCCAACCTTCCCCTCACCCTACCCCTACACTACTGCCCTGACCCTCTTCCAGGCATTAAGCCACCCGCCCCCTGTGGATTAAGAGACTCACTTGGTATACATCAATACCCACAATCTTTCTACTGTGAGTGACATCACTGGAAAACTCCACCCTTATTGCCAGTGCAAATGCCTAACACCCACCACCATCCCTCCGGTGCCTGTCCCTGGGCAGAGACCTGCTTTCTCACCCAGGCTGGGGAGAGGACGTCTCAGGAAGGGGGCAAGGTGAACATTCCTAAGACGCCCAGAGGCTGCACACCTGAAAGGAGATGCCCAAACTTGGCCTTGCCTAGCCAGGATTGGCGCTGACTAGTCCCAGCCTGGGGTCCATATGGAGAGGGTGGCCCAGCTCTGAGCTGTCCAGTAGACAGTGTTTGAATTTCAACACTGCTCATCAGTCTGCCTACTTTCCAGGTTTGTGTGGTGGTACTGAAGCGGATGGCTTACTTCAATCTTGAGTAGTGACTGGCAGAGAATAAGCTCCCATAAAGCCTATTAGTTTCTTTATGGAGGGTGGTGGTTTACATTTCCTTAACACTGTGTAAAATTATCTGGCCTGCTGTCAGATGTTACAAGGCCCTCACCATCACCCCAGTTTGCAATAATTCTCATGACTTAATAGCTCTTGTGGCCCCAGCCCCAACCACACAAACCCAGGTGTTGTCACAAATGGCTTCTCCTTTAGTCCCCTCCAATGGCCTTCTGCTCCTCCTGATCCTTGGGAAACCTTGTCACTACTGCCAGCTGTGAAGGAGGGACCAGGCAGGGCCCCCTACACACGGAGCCCAGTCAAAATAGAGCAGGTAAGTGTCCTGCTAGGCCACTAGGTAGGACACACGCTACACTGAGCACATGGCAAATCAAAGGAAGCCTTCCCAGATGCATTTGTCCTTGATCCTTCTCTGCTAAATTTCTAAAGGGGTGTGTGTGTGTGTGTGTGTGTGTGTGTGTGTGTGTTTAGGGAAATGACTTCCCTGACCTTGATCCACCCCTTGAATTTTTCCTGCAATGTCTCCAAGGCCCCGTTCTGGGATAGGACAGACCAACCTCCAACCTATAATAAAAAATGCACTCAGGCCGAGACCGGTTTGGCTCAGTGGATAGAGCATCGGCCTGCGGACTGAGGGGTCCCGGGTTCGATTCCGGTCAGGGGCATGTCCCTGGGTTGCAGGCACATCCCCAGTAGGGGATGTGCAAGAGGCGGCTGATCGATGTTTCTCTCTCATCGATGTTTCTGACTCTCTATCTCTCTCCCTTTCTCTCTGTAAAAAATCAATAAAATATATTTTAAAAAAAAATGCACTCAGGCCTTAACTGGTTTGGCTCAGTGGATAGAGCGTCGGCCTGCAGACTGAAGGGTCCCAGGTTCGACTCTGGTCAAGGGCATGTACCTTGGTTGCGGGCACATCCCCAGTAGGCGGTGTGTAGGAGGCAGCTCATTGATGTTTCTCTATCATTGATGCTTCTCTCAATCCCTCTCCCTTCCTCTCTCTCTCTCCATATAAAAAAAATCAACAAAATATATTTTCTTAAAAAATGCACTCAGGTGTCCCACCTTAGCAGCTGCGCACTGCCAGATGTCTTGTTCAGGGCTACACTGCACCACCCTCTTCACGGGTGTCTTCCCTTGACACCATTCTTCCTCTTACAGCAGGTCTCCACTCTCCTGACACAGGCTCTTTCTAGCCCTATCTCACCCTCAGCCCCTCCCCACTGCCTGGGGACTCCTTCCTCTTATAGCTCTGCCCTTCTTCTAGACCAACCTCAGGAGGGCCCTGCCCACTCCACACTGGCTCCTACACACCTCCAGAACTTCTACCCCCCACCACTGCCACAAGACTGAGGGGCAAAACAGGCCAAGTCCCCATGATCCAGAAGAGAATAGCACAGACCCTGCTGTGCCCCCTGGTAAACGAGCATCTCCTGTGCTTTCACTTGTACAGAGAATAAGCTGACCACCAAACTAGGTGGGAGCACTCTAGACCAGTGATGGCGAACCTATGAACTCAATTTTTTGGTTAATTTTTCTTTGTTAAATGGCATTTACATATATAAAATAAATATCAAAAATATAAGTCTTTGTTTTACTATGGTTGCAAATATCAAAAAATTTCTATATGTGACACGGCACCAGAGTTAAGTTAGGGTTTTTCAAAATGCTGACACACCGAGCTCAAAAGGTTCACCATCACTACTCTAGAAGAGAAGTTGGCAAACTTTGTAAAGGGTCAAACAGCAAGTATCTTAGGCTCTGTAGGCTGTCACAACTGCAACTCTGTCTCTGCTGTGGATGAACAGATGGGCTTGGTTTATATCCCCAAGAAATATGCCCACCCCTGGCATAGAACCATCACCCTATGCCAATAGGGCAGCTGGGAAAGGAAGGTAAAAAGGAGAGCTTGGGAAACCCTAAGGAAGGGGGACCAGAAGGGAAGGCAGAGGACACACCCCAGTGGGTGGAAGGGGCACGTTGGGCAGAAACTGGCCACAGCAAAATGAAAATTACACAAGGCCTTGACCCAATTCTCCATTAGTCTCTTCCACCTAAAAAATAAAGTATGGCCCTGACCGGTTTGGCTCAGTGGATAGAGTGTCGGCCCGTGGACTGAAGGGTCCCGGGTTCGATTCCCGTCAAGGGCATGTACCTTAGTTGCCGGTGGATCCCCAGTAGGGGGTGTGCAGGAGGCAGCTGATGGATGTTTCTCTCTCATTGATGTTTCTAACTCTCTATCCTTCTCCCTTCCTCTCTGTAAAAAATCAATAAAATATATTTTAAAAAAAATAAAGTATGAAATCCTGCCAGGGAAAAGATGAAGCTCCCCTGCCCTATGACAGGGTGGGGAAAACTGGCATCACAAGCTGGCAGACCCTCAACATGTTACTTAACCTCCCCGACATCAACTATTAAACCGAAAGCACCAGTCCTGTTTGGGAAATTTTTGATAGGTGCAGATTAAAATAGGAAAGCTATGATTCTTTGTCCTAATCTTAGATCCAAAGCTGTCCTGACTCTTGGGGCATTGGCAAAGAACATTCAGGACCAGGTAGCTTTACTTCCCAAGATGGACGTGGTTTTGTCCAGGCCCTATCACTGTTGTTTGCCCAGCAAAGTCAAGTCAGCTTCTCTTCACCAACACTTCCCACCTCACAAAGTTGACCTTTTAGCCCTCAGGGGTCAAAGGTGATGGCCCGAGTCATATTGGCACGTGTGTCTAGGCTAGGGCCTGAAATACAGTGACATCTGATGCATGAGTAATCCACAAAATACATGCAAGGCTATTCTGAAGTGTTATCAATCTCAAAACTCTGCTTTCCACCAATTTCCCATATGGAGGCAAGCTTTGGCCTGGATGGAGCTCCCACTTCAGAGGAGAAAGGATGGGGTGACAGTTTGGAGAAACTTGGAATGTCAAGAACAGGTGAGAACTAGCACTGTGAAGTCAGGGGTTACACTTGCAATCCGTCGAAGTTGCAAGTTATTGTAAGAATAATGAGAGGGGGCTGGCAAATGATCACAGGGTGACCATAGATTTAGAGCAAAGAGTGACCTGGCTATATTGCCACCCACTTAGGAATAACTTGCTAGAGACAGGGAGGCACTAGTGTGATGACCTGAGCAATAAAAACAGCTGACTTTTCTTCAATGATTACTCTCCAACAGGCAAGCATATTTTAAAGCAGTTTGTTATTAGGCTAATTTGATCCAACAATAATTGGCACTGACACATTATTAACCCCATTTTAGAGATAGAAAACCAAAACACACTGGCAGATGGAGGTCACAAATTAAATTAGAGGATTTTAACTCGGGGAGCCTGGACCCCATGGACATAAGGATAATGCCTGCCTCTCAAACAAACCACCTCTAAGCAAAATATGAACATTCATTTGTCCCTGGGTTTCCCTGGAGGATCAGAGGAAGCCACAGGTCCTCACACACACCTCTTACAAAGGAAGAAACAGAGCCAGAGTAGGAAGTTATTGAACATCACACAAAGCATGCAGTGACAGAGTCAAAGTCTCTTGTGATCTGGGGGGAGAGGGAGGCAAATAAGAGCTCACAGAGGGGACAGAAGGATCTGTGCCAGGGGTCACTCGTCTCCCCACTACCCAGCTAGATGCCCCAGTTCCTACCAGCTCGTGTGTAGAACCAATTCTCATCGTAGGGAGCAAGCTCTTTATGCTTGGCCAGCTTGACAGTGTCCACCCATTCAGGGACTTTCAGCTTCCCGGACCTGGGATCAAGACAGCAGGAAAGGTACAATTCACCGGTCTCCACACCCCCTCATCCCCTCTCCTCCACAGGACTGTGCGTTAACAGGAGCTGGACGTGTCCGAGCATAAGCAAGCTGAAACTCAAACACAACCCAGGCCTCAGGTGGAAAGGGGGACTCCACGCTGAGGCCCTCCAACAACTATCCCCCCTACCAGAAGAGGGCGCTGCGGACCGAGGGGCCAGCGAAGACCACAGCCGCCAGCCACCGCGAACCCGTCCCCACACTCACTTTTTCAGGAAGGCTGCCAGAGCTCTGACGAACTCCTGCTGGTTCACGTCTTTTACAGTAACTCCGGGCATCTGCGGGAAGGACCACGCATGTGAACACGAGCTGGTGGGGACCAGCCACAGGGGCTGGGGCCGAGCCCCAACGCGACCTGCACCGCCGCCCTCCCCGGATTTCCCAAGGCCCTACTTCAAGTCCGGGCGCTAACGGCCCCGGCGGCTGGCGGTCCTAGAGTTCACCGGCGCCCACGACCACAGCCCGACCGCATTTGTGCAGACGCTGTATGACCCTAGTCCCTGACTCTGGGGTCCCGCACTCCCGGCTGCCCCCGGGCCCAGTCTCGCTTCCCGGACCACGCCGAGCCAGCATGTCCGGGCCTGCCGCTCGCACGTGGCTGCGGCTTCGGGGGGCGGGGCGGCGCCGCGCGGTCACCCCGGGCTCCGAGACACACGCTTGGGGCTGGGGAATCGGGTCCCGACGCTCCGTGCCCAGCCCGAGTCAGAGAGCCCGCCTTACCGTGCGGCCTCCGCGCTGCCAGCCAGGGGAAAGGGAGCAACGGGGTTTCCCGGACGCACAAATCGGGCGTCAGGTCTCGCGAGGGTTCCGAGAGCTCGCGAGAACGGGGTTAGACAAGGCAGCTCCGCCTATCTCAGGGCGAATGGGGCTTCGCTTCCGCCGAGGTGGGCGGGTGTGTAGTGAGGAGGCGGGAAGGCAAAAGAGAAGACTATGGGGACGGATGGGGAGGCTTGTTTCTTCCCTATTCCTCCTCCCGGAGTGTAAGAGAGAGAGGAAAGCGTTTCCGTCTGGAGCATTGATCAAAACATCAGCGGAGGACACTGATGGCGGAAGTTATGAAGTTCGGTGGGCAGGAAAAGACCTAGCCACTTCTGGCGTTTCCGAAGGGACGACCCCCTCCCCCTTCAAAGTGGAAGTGGCTTTACTGGTCGGAAGTGGGGGTAGTAAGGGCGGATGTGATGGGGAACCCAGAGGAAATGCTAAGCAGAAATCTGTCCAACAGCACTTCCGAGAACTGGAGGCGGAAGCCCCACCCTTCTTAGGGCGGAAGTTGCTTCAGCAGAGCCCAGGCGGAGCGAGTGGGAATGAGGCAGTGGCGGCAGGGAAGAGATGAGGGCAGGGACGAGGAGGCGGAGGCGGGACCTTGGGAGAACTTAGTTCAGCTCTGCCTCCTAGCGTCTGAATCGGCTCGCTCAGCCCTTGGCCTTACTTGCCTATTTATATTTACCTACTGATCTGTGTAACTGTAGGCTGTCCATTGGCTCGGTCTTCAGTCTCTCCTTTAAAAAAAAGGGGGGGGGGGATTTAAATGGAAATACCGAGATCCCGATTATTTGCCTCTTTTAAGTGACTGCTTCTGTACATGGTGCATCTCTTATGAATTCTAGCAACGTTTTGTGTGTATGTGTGTGCCTACCCTGTGCCAGGCACAGGTAAACATTATGTAGTATTAGTACATGTACACTTGTTCAGAAGTGCAAAATCAAAGGTGCCAGCAGGTTTTGGGTCTGGTGAGGGTCCGCTTTCTGGTTTATAGACAACAATCTTTTTGTGCATTCTTATAGCAGAAAGTGGGAAAGGAAGCTCTCTGGGCCTTTCTTATGAGGGCACTAACCCTATTTGAGGAGTCCACCCTCATGACCTAATCACCTCTTAAAGGCACCACCTCCAAATACCATTAGATTGCGGATTAGGTTTCAACATATTAATTTTTGGGGGCACACAAACATTCAGTTTATAAACTTTTTAAGTTTATAATATGTATTTCAATCAGGGGCTTTATATTCATGTAGCATGTTGTCAAATCCTATTTTGCATTGTTTCTAAAATTTGAGAATAGTTTTAGTATCTCAGATTCTCCCCACCCCTGAATCAACACTTGTATTTCCATGTGTAACTGTAAATGTATTCATGTAATGGGTAATTTTTTTTTCTTTACATGCTGACTTTATTTTTAATTTAAATCTTTATTGTCAAGAGTATTACAGATGTCCCTCCTCTTTCCCTCCATTGTTCCCCTCTACTGGTTCCTGCCCCACTCCAGGCTTTCACCACCCTATTGTCAGTGTCCATAGTTAATGCATATCCTTCCTATATAATAAAACCCTAATATGCAAATTGACTGAACGGTGGAATGACTGGTCGCTATGATGTACACTGACCACCATGGGGCAGATGCTCAATGCAGAAGCTGCCCCCTGGTGGTCAGTGCACTCCCCCTGTGGGAGGACTGCTCAGCCAGAAGCCAGGCTCATGGCTGGCAAGTGCAGCAGTGGTGGTGGGAGCCGCTCCTGCCTTCGCTGCCGTTGGGTGGTAAGGAGTGAGAGGTCCCGGACTGCAAGAGCCCTGGACTGCAAGAGGGATGTCTGATTGCTGGCTTAGGCCCGATCCCCGGGGGATCGTCAGTCTGTTCCATGTTTCCATGACTTCAATTCTACTTTTTAGATTCAATTGTTGATAGCTATATATTTATTGCTATTTTGTTCATATTTTTACCTTTCTTGTTCTTCTTCCTCTTCTTAAAGAATACCCTTCAACATTTCATGTAATACTGGTGGTGATGAACTCCTTTAGCTTACTCTTGTCTGTGAAGCTCATCTGACCTTCGATTCTAAATGATAGCTTTGTTGGGTAGAGTAATCTTGGTTGTAGGTCCTTACTATTCATCACTTTGAATATTTCTTGCCACTCCCTTCTGGCCTGCAAAGTTTCTGTTGAGAAATTAGCTGACAGTTGTATGGGCACTCCCTTGTAGGTAACTGCTTTTCTCTGCAGCTTTTCTTTTGCAGCTTTTAAGATACTCTCATTGTCTTTAACCTTTGGCATTTTAATTATGATGTGTCTTAGTGTGGGCCTCTTTGGTTCCTTTGTATGGGACTCTTTGTGTTTCCTGGACTTGTAAGGTAAGTCTATTTCTTTCACCAGGTAGGGGAAGTTTTCTGTTATTATTTTTTTCAAAACCACCTGGCAGGAGGTTTTAAATATCTTGCTCTGTCTCTTTTCCTTCTGTCATTCCCGTAATGTGAATGTTGGTAAGTTTGAAGTTGTCCAGAGGCTCCATACACTGTCTTCATATTTTTGGACTATTTTTTATTTTTGCTCTTCTGATTGAGTTCTTTCGGCTTCCTCATATTTCATTTCATTGATTTGATTCTCAGAATCCTCTACTCTACTGTTGAATTCCTAGAAATTATTCTTCATTTCAGTTAGTGTACTGGTATGCTTAATTTCTGAATGGTCCTTTTTTATGTCTTTGAAATTCTCACTAAGATTCTTGTCTTGCTAAGTCCCTTGAAGCTCTCATTAAGGACCTTGAGCAACCTATTAAGCATTGTTTTGAACTCTGTATTCATTTTGATTCCATTTTTTTCCCATTTGTAACATGTTTCATTGTCTCCTCATTTTGACTGCTTCCCTGTGTTTGTTCCTATGTATCTACCTAATAATTAGGTAGATCTGTTATGTCTACTGGACTTAGTAGAGTGGCCTTGTGTAGTAGGTGTTCTGTAGGGCCCAGTAGCTCAGCCTTCCCAGTCACTCTAGGTGTACCTCTGTGTGGGCTGTGTGCACAGTCTTGTATTTTTGTTGTAATTTTTTGTGTGGTACTGTGTGCTGTTTGTACTTTTTGGTCTCATAATTTTGTCTTCTTTTTCTCTAAAAGGCACTGCAAATTGTATAAATGTCAGACCTCACAAAACTACTCACACTGCTCCACTAGGCATTTCTCACAATGCATTGCATTTGCTTACATATACTCTTCCTCTAGAGGCATGTCTCATTCTCCTTGCATCCCTAAAACTTAACAGGGCCTGGTAAGCCCCCATTAAGTGTGCACTGAATTGAATCAAATAAGAATAGGAATAAAGTCTTGTTACTAGTATTTTTCTGATTCTCTATAACCCGTAGCTTATTGACTAAAATATTTAACTTCTGTCTTTCCCAAGCTTGACACTCAATGAAAACCCCCGTTTATCTCCAAAAGCCAGAAAGAGTGGTGTGTACAGATTTCTTTCTGAATCAGCAGGAAGAGGAAAAGGAGAAGACAAATTGCATGCAGATTGCAGTGGGGTCTCATGGTGAGGAGTCCAAATGACCACCATGACTCAGCTGTACACTTGGGGTCAGCCATGGTTCCCTCCTCCCCTTTCTCTCTCCTATCCATCCAATCCACTGTAAGTCCCACACAAAAAGTTCTAAACTTTTTGTGCTCTGAATTCTTTGGTGTCTCACAAAACCTACTGCTCCTTCTGAGAATTAGAAAAATGCATAAGGTAAAATATATAGGATTTCAAATGAAATAAATTATATTGAAATACATTCATCAAAAGTATTTGAATTGTGCTAATAGTAGTCTATGGGCTTCTTTAGCACATTAGTATTTAAGATCAAGCAAAGGTCTGATGACGACTGTCATCTCAAAGCCATCGTGAGTAAAACAGTATTTTAAGAGATCTGCAACAACTGTACAGAATATGGAAATAGCTGTGCATTCCATTGGTGACAAAGCCCAAGTACTGTTGTGCCACTGTGGTCTGTTGCCTACATTCAAGATAGGAGGAAATACTAGGTTTTTGGTCAGAGGATAGCAAATATCGAGACATAATTCCAAGTTCATGGACTCCCTCCCCCAGAATTCTATACCCAGACCCCTTGAAGGGTGGTGTGTGGAATCCAGGTTCCTGTTCTAAAATATTAATTGAACCAGAAAACCTCCTTTGGGTTTCATCACATTTGTAATGGAATCTAACTCCTTGTCGTGGCCTTGCATGAGCCAGCCCCCTGCTTGCCTCTCCTTCCTCACCTCCCTTGACTTCCTCTCTCCCTAACTCTAATCCAGCCACACCGGTCTCCTTCCTGTTACTGAACCCAGAAAGAAGTCTCCGTCTCAGGGCCTTTGCACATGCTGCTGCTTTGTACCTTTTGTTCCTTCTTGGTCTGCACATGACTGGCCCCTCCTTGTCACTCAAGTCTCTATCAAATGCCTCCTCCTCAGGGAGGTCTCCCCTGGCCACCAATCTGGTAAGGAGTCTTCCTTTCCTTTGATCTCATTGATTATCAAATCCATTCATTGTTTAATAACATGCTATTTAGCCTCCATGTGTTTGAATGTTTTGGGGTGTTTTTACTGTAGTTGCTTTCTAATTTCATTCCACTGTGATCTGAGAAGATGCTTGATATGATTTCAACCTTCTTGAACTTGTAGAGACTTATTTTGCATCCTAACATGTGGTCTGTCATTGTGAACGATCCATGTGCATTTGAGAAGAATGTATATTCTGCAGCTTTTGGGTGAAATATTCTATAAATGTCAATTAAATCCATCTGATCCAGTGTGTCCTTTAGAATCACTGTTTCCTTGTTAATTTTTTGTCTGGAAGATCTGTCCAGTGAAGTCAGAGGGGTGTTAAAGTCCCCTACTATGACTGTGTTGTTGTCGATCTCTCCCTTAAAGTCCTCTAGAAGTTTTTTAAAAAAAATATTTTTATTGATATCAGAGAGGAAGGGAGAGGGAGAGAATCATTGATTGGCTGACTCCTGCATGCCCCTCCTGGAATCGAACCTGGGATCCTTGAGTCCACAGGCCGATGCTCTATCCAGTGAGCCAAACCTGCTAGGGCTAGAAGGTT